TCCGAGTATAATAAGTAATTGCCAGGAGTTGTTTAAGGTAACAATAAGAGCAGCCCATGCGGTGATCGCTAGAGGATGGAAAGATAAATCAAAATGGACATTAAGTAATTGGAATGATTATGTGTCTGACCAAGTGTTGTTACGATATTACGGGAATTATGACTAACCAAGCACCAAGAATGGATAAAGAAAAGATCATTATAAATAGATGGAAGGTCTACTGCAACTGGGTGAAAAATGGAGGAGCCAACGATCACATCAAAGAAAAAATACAAAGACTCTACAAGTGGCTGGATCTGCAAGATTAGTAGAAATATACTGTGGTTGAGGAGGGAGGGAGGGAAGGCGGGGAGACTGTCATCTACACCAGTGTAAATTGTCTTTGATATTTGTTGAATTACTACCAGGATTTATGCGTGTAACACTTGAAATTTAGCTTATTGATTTGTGTTTATAACATAATAAAATATGTTTTAAAAAAAGACAAAAAAGACAGATATGATGATGATGATGATGATGAGGATGATGATGAGGATGAGATAACTCTGTAAATTGCAAGGCTGAGCCTTTGCCTTCTGAAACCCTTTGGCCTTTGCCGACCCTTGCGACCATCCCCTTTGACCCCTGGCACGGCCGGATTGGGCACTCAGGGTCCACGATGCCTGGCCTCGCGCAGAAGAGGCACCGGAGGAGGGCAAAGGGACCGGCAGAAGGCACGCAGGGGGACAAGGAGGGGCAAAGGGGGATTTGAATCCTCTGCCATCTGTAGAAGGCCCCCAAATATATTGTTCCTTTTGTGTTCAAAAGCGCAATCCATTCTCTAGCTGCCGAACTGGACCTCCTCAAACATGATATCCCTTCATCCAGATCAAGCTGGCTATCTGTCAGGCAGGACAGGGGCAGATTCCACAAGGAGAGCATGACGTCTAATGCCTCAGAGTCAGTCCTGTGGGTGGAGGGGGGGTGTTACTTCCCCCTTCCCTCCTTGGTCTGAATCAAGGACCCTCCCCCTCCTCTTCCCCCCTCCAAGAGGGGGGTCTCCCTTTCTCTCCTTGGTCTGAACCTAGGCTCCTCCCCCTCCTCTTCCCTCTCCCTCGGGGCCCCTCCCTCTTATTTCCCACATACCCTCTTCAAGGCCCCCTCCTCAATGGGGGACAAATAAGCTGGTGTTGGGAAGGGCTGCCCACCCCCGGGTCCCTCTGCACTCCCTTCTTCGCTCTTCTTCCGGGGGACGGATCCAACCCGCCAATCCCTGCCACTCCTTCGTTCATCAGAGGCAGAGAGGGGTCCCTGGCCCACATTCACACTGAGGCATCGACACAGGAAGCGAGCAGAGTTCTGGGAAATGTAGTTTAGAGCGGAGCCTTTTACATTCTCTTCCACAAACTACATTTCCCAGAATTTCCCTGACTGCCTTGTGCCGCCTCCTACTCCTCCCTAAAAGTTGTGCTGGAGGAAAACCCGTGTTCATTCTCTAAAGGGATTGAGGGATAAAAATGGATTGTTGTGGGTTGAATCAACTCTGTGAGGAAAGCAAAGCTGAGAGAGGCAGGAACTCCAAAGGTTACCCAACAGGTTTTCTATTATTGTTGTTGTTGTTGTTGTTGTTGTTGTTTCAAAGACTGATTGAGTCTCCTTCAGGGTGAGAAGACAGGCTATAAATGTCATAAATAAATGAATGGCCATCTGTTGGGGTGGTTTGAGTGTGCTTTTCCTTCCTGGCAGAGGGGGCCTGGACTGCATGGCCTCTGGGGTCTTCCAATGAAATAGTATTGTTAAGTTTATGTTGGTTAAAATTCCCCAAAATCAGTGAATGAGATGAACAACATTCTGAAACTTGGGGGGAGGGAGGGGCTAACAGTGGTCAATGTGCTCTCCCATTGTAGCAAGTTTCATCCCGACAGCTCAAAAAACGAGGGAGAAAGGAGCCCCGGAAGCTCCTTCCCCTTGCGCAATTGCAAAACGAAAACATGACTTAGCCAGAACGCAGCCCGGCTTGACCCCACGTGTGGCACCAGCTCTACAAGTCACGTGGCCTTCCTCAGAGCATCCAATTTGGCAAACAATACTGATGTATGGATGTCTAATTAGAAACAATCGATATTCAAAGACCTCAACTTGGACTCCCGCTTTAGGAATGGCGGCAGGCTAAATGATGAAAAGCTCTGTCCGTACTCGTTAGCAAGATTAGTGCCTCCAACGAGCTCAAAATGAGGGCAGGAGTTCCCCTGGCTACACAGAAATAAGCCCAGGAGAAGTGCGGACCTTTGCAAACTTGGCAACAGTGATGTAGATGGGGGAAGCTGTGAGTTTTGGAGGTCTCCAGGGGGATTGCAGCTCCCTAGATCAGTGGTCCTCAACCTGTGTCCCTCCAGGTGTTTTGGCCTACGACTCCTAGAAATCCCAGCAAGTTGACCAGCTGTTAAGATTTCTGGGAGTGGAAGGCCAAAACATCTGGGGACCCCCAGGTTGAGAACCACTGCCCTAGATGGATCGCCATTGAGGGGAAGCAAGGAGGAGAGACGTGCACGCACATAATAGTTGCAGGTGTTTCCACTTTCCCAACCTGATGACCTTCCCTCAAAATCTCCTTTTGGAATCAAAGACTATTTAGAGGAGGAGGAGGAAATGAGACAACGAAGTAGTGACTCTCTACAGGCAAGTATTTGAGCATAACGATATAATACCCTGTTACCATCCTACAACAGCGGGAGATGGCACCGAGGTTATAACCCAGACCTCTTATTTGTGAGTGACAGCATTGTACAGCAATGCACCAATCCCAAACACACAGCACCGACCAATAATATGCCAACTGTTCCCAACAATAAGGCCTCAGGAAGTTCAATTTAAATGAAGATTCAACTTCAGAAAGGCAGATTGGACTAAATTCTCAGACATGTTAGATGACATGATCATATTGGTCGCGCCAATCCCTGAGGAATACGAGCATTTTATTGAAATCGTGAAAACCTGCTCACGGACCTCGATACCGAGAGGCTGCAGAACCCACTACCTTCAGGGCATTACTCCTGAAACAGCTGCCTTGTTGGAAAACTATTACAGGCTCCACAACGAAGACCCATTTAGTGAGCAAACCCTTCAGGCAGCGCAGAGCATCGTGTCCTCCATCTCTGAAGCCAAGAAAGAACAGAGTGTCAAGCTGATCACAGAGGTCAACATGGGCAGGAGCAGCCAGAAGGCGTGGAGACTGCTGAGACGGTTGAGCAACGACCCCTCA